TGTCTCTGAAAAAATTTTATGCCATGGCTGTTGTGCAACATCGTCGAGGAAATGGTGGTGGTTGAAATTTAAAAGCGCGTGTCTCAGTCGTGCGATGACTACTAGTTCGCTCGTAGCAGATTTTAAGAGTCATGAAGACCAGAGAACGATCGCTGATACCGAGATGAACTACACCAGCTTTTGATATTTTTTCGAGCGAACAAGTTATACAGAGGTCAATCAACGTCCTCGAAGTGGGTGTAATTCTAGTCGGCTCAGAGATCAAGTGACTTAGTCCATATATATCAAGTATGTTCGTTAAAGTGGATGAGGTATGATTTGATCCGTCTGAATGATGAGCGTAGTTGACGCGATGGGGTGTAAGATGTAAGCAGATCACAAATGTACGACGGTGCCAGGTTGTTAAGTGCCTTGTAGGTTATAAGTAAAATCTTAAAAATAATACGTTGGTTAACGGGAAGCCAATGAAGATTGAAAAGAACAGGCGTGATGTGATCATGTTTTTTTTTGTAAGTGTGACGAGCGCCGCCGCGGCATTTTGAACGTGTTGTAGCCTTTTTTTATAGCGTAGGCTGGTAGGCCATACAAAAGGGAATTACAGTAATCCAGCTTCGAAGATACAAACATATGAACCAGCAATTCAGTAGTGGTCGCTGAAAGATATTTCCTGATATAGCTAATATTTCGCAAATGATAAAATGAAGATTTACAAATGTCAGTAATATGATCCTTAAAGCAAAAATGGCTGTCGAACATAGTGCCGATATTCCTCGCCTTTTGCACGGAAGGAATAGTCTCACCAGCAACTGAAATTTCGTGAAGGAGTGGTCTTGGAAGATGTTTAGCGGAAATTACCAATAATTCAGTTTTGTCTTTATTTAATTTAAGACGATTAACCATCATCCAATGACTGATTTCATCCACACAGCTCTCGATGCTAGAAACCGCTAGATCCCTATCACCCAGTACGGTTGGTTGGAAAGACAAGTAAAGCTGTGAGTCGTCAGCATAAAAATGATAGCTCAGGTTAAATTTCTTTACGATATCTGAAAGCGGTGAAGTATAAAGCAAATACAAAATGGGTCCCAAAACCGATCCTTGTGGCACTCCACATTTAAGGTCATGTTTCGTCGAAGTACCACCATCAACAGAGACATATTGCGTGCGATTCGATAAATAAGATTGCAACCATAATAGAGGCTTCCCAGCTATCCCAAACCGTACACGTAAACGAGAGAGGAGGATGGTATGATCGACTGTATCGAAGGCAGCGGAAAGGTCTAACAACAGCAAAATTACGATTCGACGATTATCAATGGCAGAAAGAATATCATTGTGAACACGAATAAGTGCAGTTTCAGCACTGTGATATTTCTTGTACGCCGACTGGAATGTCTCATTTAACTCATAATCGTTAATGTAGGAGATAAGTTGATTAGCTACCAATTTTTCAATTGCTTTGCTAATAAATGAAAGATTCGATACCGGACGATAATTGCAGAATTGAGTATGATCCAAAGAAGATTTCTTAAGGAGCGGGCGTAACATTGCAACCTTGAGTTGCGAAGGCATCTGACCAGATTCCAATGAGATATTTATGATTTTGGAAATGAAAGGCAACAGAACACTAAGTGCATTTCTTGTAACATAACCAGGAAGAGGATCAAGAGCACATGACTTAGCAGCCAGATTCATGATACATGTATGAACTTCATCCGCTGTTACCATTTTGAAAATATCAAAAGAATGTGGACAGGCGTTGTCAACAACAGCAACTGTATCTCGATGAGGGAAAGCAGCAGTCGTTATATGACCCCGTATTCTATCTATCTTTGTAGTGAAGTACTTAATAAACTTGTTAGCAAGATCAGTGGGCGATTTGCAGGGGGGATATTGAATATCTGTTTTCCTTTGTAGTAGTTTATCAATTATCTTAAAAAGCTGTTTATAATTTGACTGATTCTCATTGATTAATGATGCGAAATAATTCTTCTTGGAATCACGAATTAAGTTGTTGACAGCATCACATCCCTCAATAAACAACTTACGATCAGAAGGAAGTTTTGTCATTCGCCAGCGTCGTTCAAGTTTTCTACGGGATCTCTTTAAATTATTTATCTCCTCAGAATACCAAGGTGCAGCGGGACGCAAAGTAACTAACTTTTTTTGCAGTGGAGCATGAGTCTCAAGTATGGTAGTAAGGACTCTGTTATATTGATCAATCAAATAATCCAAGGATGACGATGACGAGGCAAAAAGATCAGGAAGGCTCGAATTCATAACATCAGCACAGAAATTATCAAAATCAATAGATCGAAGCTTTCTGAATGAAATAATCTTCTTGTCGAGCGGCGGCTTATTAAGCGAGAGCTGGAAGTGAACAGCAGCATGATCAGAGATGACAAAAGGAGAACCAATTGTCAAATTTGAAACAATACTATCATCAGATCTTGTAATCACAAGATCTAAGGTGTGTCGATCTTTATGCGTTGAGCCATGTGTATGTTGAGTAAGATTGAAAGAATCCAACAATTGAAGAAATTCAGTTGAGTGTTGGGAAGAACAGGTGTCAACATGTATATTAAAATCACCAACTAATAATATTCCACCGGGATCAGCGATATAGTGCTCCAGGAACGTAGAAAACTCATCAAGGAACAATGAGGGTGTTAAACCATTCAAGGTCGAGGAGGTGGGCGATAAACAATAATAACTCTGAGTTTTAAACCGACTGTACTTGACAATAACAAATCCATATATTCAAAGGACAAAACTTCTTCTTGAGCGGCTGCAACTTTAAGTTGAAAGATGATCGAAATAACAAGCCAACTCCGATCATGCATATTATATATGCATATTACAGTTTAAATCACCCAGAAGGTAAAAGTCTTTCTGTTCAGAGTCCACTTTATCGATTAAAGACTCAAATTGCCAAAAGATATCTTGGGGAGAGTTGGGAGGTTTATACCATGTACTGATAATAAAAGGTCTGGAGTGGGGTCTGATAATTTCGATGACAACACATTCAAGACGGTCATCACATAAATCGTTACGGATCTGGTAATTTATGTTTCTCCGTAAATATATGCAAACATCACCACCACTTCGGCCATTAACAGAGCGATCTTTCCTAACAACCTCAAATCCTGGCAATTATATTTCATTATCATTGACTGAACTATCAATCTTCGTTTCATTAATAGCCAGTACATCAATTTTGGAGTCGGGTACAAAAAATTTGTGATCATCCAAATGCGCAAGTAAACTATTGATATTTAATGCCGCCATAACAAAACCCCGGCCAAATGGATTGATAGTGGATGGGTCGCCCTTACTGTTGTTGTACCTACGATTTATTCGCGGAGGCAAGGACTCATTCGTTTCCCAGTCGGCAATACCCTAATCACCTCTTAAGTAATTAATAAAATTTGTTGCAAGTCGGGCAGTTCCTTTTGTGTTGAGGTGTAGACCACTCTTGTTTAGGTCATATTCAGGAGAGATATTTGAATGGTCGACATACCCCCATCCATTTTGATTGCAAAAAGTTTTAGTATCTTGTTGACACCTGACACTTTAACGGCGAGGACGTCATCATCAGACCTCGGAATAATACCGGATATCGCAAGATCGGCCGAGGATTCATTACTAATCATGGTGGCTAGGTTAACAATCTCCTCAGCACAATCACGCACCTATGCACTTGATCGAAGGCGGTTAGTACCAACATGCATCACAATTTCTTTGTAAAACTGGTTTGATATGGTCTCTCATGTCCATAATAGTGCAACTAGGGAACGAGGAAACCTTGACTTTTGCAGATCTCGAGATTTTCCGTCCCTGAAGGTTCTTTAAGATAGAATCGCCAACTATAAACACTTCCTTTCTCTTTGCTGATTGATTTGTTGGATCATTATTGACACCGTCTGGGGTTCGTGTTGCTCTATCCGTGCGGCTTCCAGAATTTGAAGTCTGGGAGTGTCTCGTGCTTGGTATCCTGTTTCTTCCGTCTTTATTAGCTTCGTTATTTGGCGTTGGGCTAACATTGATGAAACTACCTTGAACCTCATTCCCAAGGAGGTCAAATCTATTGCGGGTATCGGTGTTATCGTTGGGAATTGTCTGTTGGTTGCGTTTAATTTTCGTACGGTTCGCGGCATGGGTGTTTTCCACAAGGGACCAACGATCATCTGCCTTTTGTGGATGGCTGTCACATTCATTCTTCTCTTGGACAATGATCTTTAACGCCAGTCTTAGTGAGTCATTCTCTTGTTCCAAGGACAATGCTTGATTTTCAAAGGACGGGCATTATTCCTCAAGTTCTTGGATTTCCTTTTCTTTTTTGCGTAAAGTCGATAACAAATGTTCATACCACGTTTTATAATCAATGCCCTCAGTGGCTACCATAAGTTCCTCTTGTTTTTTTTTTAATATTTGTTCACAAGAGATTTGCATTTGCTTCTACCTTTTTCTGTAGGATGACTAGATCAATTTAAGACCCTCCATATCAGCTCTCATCATAGAATATGATCACTCTCGAGTCGAACTTTCCTGCCCCTCCCTGTCGGCCGATGCCTGTTGAATACCACTCGCGTAAAAATCTTCAGACAGCATGGAAGGCGACACTGTTTGGTTCTTACTTTGCTCAGCAGTTGTAGATGTATTTGAGTCCGGCATGTTAGTTGTCATTTCAGGCATGTTCTGAACTAATTGAACTAAGCCAGGCGACGTCCACTTTCCCTGTTGCTGCAAGTCGCACATCACGAAACTCTTCAACGAATCCAAACTACTCTTCCAGGCCAACCGATCTCCTTCTAGTTGAAGATGTTGTAAATCAGAACTCTCAAGGTTAGGTAAAAACAATTCCATTTCAGCGTCCACAAATTGATTATTGTCGGAGCTTGAAAGTGTGCAACCATCCTCCATAATTCATGCAGGAATTCGTCTTACTTCTGATAGTGAATGGGAGGAGGAGTCCTCGTTGATCCCAAACAGAGAATGCTTGGCTCAAGATCTTCTTTCTCATGCCCGGATCACCCCTCGGTCGGGTAAACCGGAGCATATCCTCCTGGGCATCTCAAATGACGCCCAAAGTTCTGTCTGTTGGCAACTTGTCCTCACTCAGCTTGAGGAATCATGGAGATCTACAATTGCATTTCAATGGCTTTCCTCACGATAATCCGTTGATGGAAGGCGATCATCCATGTTAAAGTGCTTGCAGACTGCTTTCACACCCAGAGGTAAATCTTCCCCATTCTCATTAGCATTTTGCCTCATAGTATAGTTCGCTCTGGATGGTGCAGACACTTCTCCAAACACTGGTCTCTCAAACTGATACACACTCGGTTCTTCTCTCAGAGAGACCCTCCATAAGAATCTCATCGCCGGCTCATCATGATTATGGAATCCTCGATTATAATTCTGAACTCTTTTAATGGAAACTTCTACTTCTCTAATCCTGCTCGTAATAACAACCCAGTGCGCATACTCGTAATGCAATATAAGACACTACATCTCTCCCTTCCTCTAAGAATGAGAAGGGTAAAATGTCACTATGAAAATGTCACTATGAACAAAAACAAAACTCAACATATCGTTTCCTTAGACTAACTGTCCAAATAATGTTCAAGTTACATAGTTCTTGAAATGTTCCAGGCAAATGTTCAAGTCACATAGTCCTTGAAATGTTCAGGCACCCTTCTTGTTCTTTCCGATCTGCGAAGTGCAGGTGGTGCTTCTGGTTCATCCTCAACTGCTTCATCTGCTTCATGATATCCTTCACTCACATTAGCTGCTTCAGCTGTCTCAATGCTGGGTGTAAATTTTTCTTCCTCGTCACTTGGAGTGAGTTGTACTGGTACGCTGGAAGGCAGCTTTTTGAAGAATGACGCATTTCTGGTTACAGTGCGTTCTGCGTTTTGGGCCGTAATCATGCTTCCTTTCTTGTCTTTTATCTCAAGTGGCTCAGGTTTAAATGGTGTGGACATCTTGTTCTGCTTGGGTTGTTTTAGCAATACTTTGTCACCAACACTTAGGTCTGTGTTTTTGGCATGGCTGCACCTATCCGCACATTCTTTCATCTCTGTCTTTCTCTTGGCATCGGTTTGTCTAACTTCTTGAGGTGCCAGATCGTGTTGTATCTGAGGTAGTGTGGACTTGAGTTTTCGTCCATTCAACAATTCAGATGGAGACTTTCCTGTGGTGCTGTGGGGGGTTGCCCTGTACTGCCGAAGAAAGGTGAACAGCTATTGCCTCCAGTTCTTGCCTTCTATGACGGCTGTCCTAATTGCCTTCTCTAGTGTTCTCATCAGTCTCTCCGACTCCCCATTTGCTCTGGGCCACATAGGAGTTGTTCTGCGATGAGTGAAACCAAAGTGAATGGCAAACTTTTGGAAATCTTCGCTGTTGAAAGGTGGACCATTGTCAGTTCTTACTATGTTGGGAATTCCTTGTCTAGCAAAGATACTGTCAAGGTGTGGAATTACTGCTTTTGCTGATGTTGACCTCAGGATCTCAACTTCTGGATATCTGCTGAAGTCATCAGTCACGACTAACAAGTAGTCTCCATTTGGAAAAGGACCACAGAAATCCATGGATAGCTCTTGCCACGGACCTTGTGGTAGTGGGGACATTTGTAGAGGCTCAGAAACCGGCTTTGCATCATGGTTTGCAGTTTGACATGGTAGACACTCTCTTACCATTTCTTCAACCATTTTATCTATCCCTGGAAACCAGACTGAATCTCGCAGAAAACGCTTCGTCTTGACAATGCCTTGATGTCCACTGTGGGCTAACATAATCACTCGCTGTCGTAGTCTTCCAGTAACTATTATGCGGGTTCCTCTCAGAATTACACCATTTGATACTGACAGCTCCTGTTTGATCTGTTGGTACTGACCGACATCCTTTCCGACTTCGTGCCACTTTTGAGTTGTTATCACCCTTGCCAGGTTCTGCAATGTTTCATCTGTTGCTGTCGCATCTTTGATCTCTTGAAGGGTAATGGCAGATGGCATAGCATAAGTGATCACAAAGTTGACATAGGCATCAACTCTCGATAAATGACGGGGGGTCTGTGACTGCTTGGGATCAGGATGACGACTCATGTAATCGGCTGGGTTGTCTGCTCCTGGCTTGTAAACAACTGCAGTTTCATATGGCTGTAGGCGTAGCTGTAGTCTTTCAAGTCTCGCAGTTGCCTTGCAGGTGGGGTTGTTGAAAATTGTTTCTAATGGCTTGTGATCTGTGATGACGCGAAAAGATGATCCATACAGGTACAGGTGAAAGTGTTCAACTCCCCAGATCACTACAAGGGCCTCTCTTTCGGTTTGACTGTAACGGCTTTCGCAATCAGTGAGTGAGCGACTTGCATAAGCTATAATGTTCATTCCTCCATCTGCTGTTAATTGTGTGAGAATTGCTCCCAGTCCAACAGGGCTGGCATCAACGATCAGCTCTGTTTCCAACGAGGGGTTGAAGTACTTCATGACTTCTGGAGTTGCCATGCGAGCCTTAAGACAAACAAATGCATGTTGTTCTTCTAGGCCCCACACCCATTTGGCATTTTTGTGTGTGAGTTGACGGATTGGAGCGGAAATGGATGCAAAGTCCTTGATGAAGCGTGCAAGGTACTGGGCCAAACCAAGAAAACTGCGTGCCTCAGTTGCATTCTTGGGAGCACTGGCATTGATGAGGGATGAAATTTTCTTGTCGTCTGCACTGATGCCATCTGCAGAGAAGTGATGGCCAAAGAAGTCAATGGATGATTGGTTTAACAGACACTTGTCAGGGGTTTGTAGCTAGATTTTTTCTCTCGTTCTCTGAAGAACAGCTCGTAGAGCCTCGTCATGATCAACTTGGTTCTTGCCAAACACTATTATGTCGTCAGATATGTTTCTTGCACCTTCAACTCCCTGTAATACCTCTTCTATAGACTTCTGAAATATTTCAGCTGCTGAGTTGACTCCAAAGGTGAGTCGCTTGTATCGAAATAAACCAATGTGCGTGGCAAAAGTAGTAATGCCTCGAGAATTTTCTTCCA